TTACCTCTATTTGGGAGGCCTAGATCACTCATATCAACTAGAGCACTTCAGACAATAATAGTAAAGGGTTTTGTTTCACAGGAAGAGAGGGGGTATAGCTGTCAAGGGTAAAACCACTCTCAGTAGAGGTTTTCAAATTCCTCACCTTTTAAGTGACTCAGTAGCATGGGGGTTGGTGTTGCTTCACCCCTTCCTCTCATCGATAGCATGGACTAGCAATCAAGTTGAGTCCCACTTAGAAAAGAGTATTTCTTCTAACTGGAATTGGATTCTAGCAACATGTGTGTGTTATATCCTGTTACTGTTCAGACACAGAGACGGGTAGAGTGGGGGAAGGTGATATGTGCTGTGATTAGTCAGCCTGCCACCACGCCTCCTCCCCCATCCCCCTCCCAGAAACTTAGTCCCCATCTGGGGAGACTGAGAACTTAAGCAACTTGAGATAGGGAAGGAGGGAAGGGAGCAGCCAAAACCTGCTGAGTCTCAGAAGACTGGTTTCTGCACTAGGGAATGGAAGAAGTGACTGAAGGTGGCTGTGGATTCCACTCTGGCCTGAGACTGATTCCCCTGAGATAAGTTTTCTGGTGGGTGTATATGAAGGCAACATGTTATGAAGAAAATCCCCTTCTTTGGAAAACTTCTTTTATCTAATTGAGATGAAAGGTATTCAGACTTATATATTTCTTATACCAAGAAATTGGTACTTATTGTTAACTTTGGATTCATCTGAAATGGGAAATCAGACTGATCACTGGTAAATGTCAAGAAAAGATTGTTCAGGCAGCCATATGCTCTTCCTTTCCTCTGCAAAGGGAATGGCTGAGTAGAATCTGTAGAAGAAAGAATGTATTAGTCAGAAGACGTGTGAAAGGGCTTAGAAAATATGTAGGAATCTTGGAAAGTGTTCTAGCACGCTGCTTAGTAATTGACTTTGTTAAAATTTCTAGCTCCTTACAGTCACTTTTTTGCTTAGTTGTTAAGTATAAGCTAAGAAATATGCTGCCCATAATTTCTAAACAAAAATCTCTACGCACGGTATGCTAGAGGAGATAATGAGGCAGAATATATAAAGTTTGGAATGTCCCAGGAAATGAATAGAGTACTAGAAGAGGGGATACTAGCTCTTCATACATTCCTTAGTGGTAAGAAAGACTGATTACTCACCCCTAAGGTATGCTTGCTTAATGATTTGTTTTCTGAATAATTGCTGTTTTCCTTTGAGCCTAGATCTTTACCCTTAGGAGGAAACCTTTCTGAGGAAATGAAAAGCTATTAGCTCAGCATGTTAAATAACAATAAGTACCAATTTCTTGGTATAAGAAATATGTAAGTCTGAATATATTAAGAAATTTTATTTAACATGCTGATTTTAAATAAATAAAATTTAATAAGTAACTAGCCTAACCTCTGATATTTGGAGGCCTACGTTAAACAATATCCAGATAAGACTATAATATCTAGCGTGTTCCTGAAGGAGCAGTGAAATTCCATGGACAGATCATTAAACTGTGGCTCAAAACACATCTACAGATTTTAAGGGACCATATTTCCTTGCATCAGACTTTCCTGGAATAGCACTGGGTTCTTGGCTGTTTAGCGGTATTTGACTTTTCAGCTGACTCTTGTCACAGACTTACTACTGGATGGTGGTTATCTACTGTATCCCAGATTTTTGGTTCACTGGAGCTTTTCATTGCCATTCTCATATCACATGGAATAAAGTCAACCATTGTACCTGCTAAGCTATTTGAAGAGTTGCTTTAAAATAGTATGTTCACCTGGCTTGATAGTTAATTGAGTTTTTTAAGTACAGCACGTAGACTTCTGTATTTGGGTGTGCTATTTGAAGAATGGGTCAATCTGACCTTCTAGACTTTCTCAGATGTGCTGTTCAAGAATGGAACACTGGTTGGTACTTATTCAGTTGTGGGTAAGACCTTTTATGGGTGATGAATAACCAACCACAAAGTAGTTCTTTAACATAAAACTTTTTGACTTTAAGGTATTTTTTGGATTTCAGTCATCTTAACTCCTTTCCTCTCCTCCCCTCCCCACCCCTACATTATATTTAGGCTAAGTATTCCTTATAGATCTAGATTTGAAGAAACACAAAAGCATGACAATTAATGCACAATGATTGGAAGAAAGCATGATGATAGGAATTAATATAAACAAAACACCTTTGCATTCGTCTTTTGATTTTCTTTTTACCCAAATTATTATATTTTACTCAAATGCAGTGAGTTTAACACAATCACAAGGCTGCAACTGAGATTTGGTTTCCCTGGATAGCAATTGGCACAGTATATTTACAAAGTAAAAGTGAACAGCACTCCAGGGGAAAATAGCTACTAGGTGTGAATACAACCTGTGCAGCTAGCAGGCCTGGAGAAACTGGCTAAGCAGGAGCATTCCACAGTAGCAGTTTTGGTAGAGGTTCTGTTTAGCATGTCGTTTGGGGTGAAGAGAAGACTAGGTTATCGTCCATCTTTGTATCTTGGGACCACCTTATAAGCAGTGAGAATATCAAAGAGCTGCAAAGGTAATCCACCACCCATCCATGTTATGACTTAACGTTCCACCCACTTCAAATATGGACCATACTCATTATTTGAGAGATCAGGTAGCAGGAACACCACACAGATTAGTAAACTGCTTGCAACACAGTCTAATATTTTTAGATGGAAAAGATTTTGCTAAGCTTTTAGGTTCTCATGAGCTTTATTAATACAAGAGATTATGACTATTAAGTTCTTAAGTTGCTGAAGAAACACATTCTGTCTTGCCACAGCCACCTATTTTTTATCTAAAAAACTGCAAATGTTATTGCAGTTCCCTCCCCTACCTTACCTTCCACATAGGTGGTATCTGGGAACATACCCAGAGCCTTTTGAAAAAGAAAAAGATGAACAGGGGAAGGAATCTTAACAGTCATGAGAGGAGACTAGCTTCTGAATTGTCTGCCCATGCCGGCAGCAAGAAAGCTGGTAGAGGAAGGGCTGCCTCTTTTATAGCAACTGTTAAGAGGCATTGATGGGGCAGGGTCATCCTAGCACTCCGGGAGACCAAGGCCTGGAGACCAGCCTGAACAAGAGCAAGACCCCTGTCTTAACACAGAAAAATTATCCAGACATCATGGCCTACTCCTGTAGTCTCAGCTACTTTGGAGTGTCAGTGCTAGAGTTTGAGATTACAGTGAACTAAAACGATGCCATTGCACTCTGCCTGGGGCAACAGAGGGAGACTGTCTCAACAATAACAACAGAGGTGTTGATGGTCTCTTAACTGTGAGTTTTTTTCCACCACCAAAATAACATCCTGGGTTGAAAGTCATTACCTTGGTCCTGGATTAATTTCTTCAGTAAAACTAGCTTTGCTGATTGAGGAAGTCATGTGAGCATGCAGTGGGAAATTCTACCTAGAAGGGCAAACGCTGACCTATAGGCATCTCAATGACTTTTTTTTTTAAAGGTAGCTCTTTTGATATTTAAGCTATTTAAAAATTAAAGTTTTAGCATGGAAACTTAAAAAAGCTGTTTTGGATGCATGTACAAAGATATTTGTTAATTAAGTTCTTATACAGTTTATGTGGTTTAGCTTGAGTCTTCATTATTTACTCATCTTTGAAGCTTGATTAACTTCATCTTATAGTGTAAGAAAGGACTTTGAAAGGTTCATTTATTCTACAGATACATAATGAAAGCCTTCTTATGTGTATAAGACCCTGGGCTAGATGCCAGGATGTGTAGCTCTTACCCTCCCATGCCTTTAGGAACTGTTCTTAGACTCAATAAAACAGTCATGGACTCTGCTCCTAGCTTAGAAAAAGCTTGCCTACTTGATGTTGAACTGAATGAGTTTTAAATAGTACTTCCAGGTTTTTTCTCTTGGGCCTATGATACAAATAGTATCTGTGGTTGTCACTGGGCTCTGCTTTTATTCTTGATATGAACCATGCTAGATACAAAGTTGAAAATACAAACTTTTATTCCCCTGATTACTGCTTCATTACCTGTGGAGTTCTGCTAATTCAGTTTTCAGTTTGTTTGCATTAGCTGTTTATGTCCAGGATACACACTCCAGCCTGATTCTGATACAGCAAGCTGGTGCTACCCTGGCTGAAAGTTCATGTGATAGAGGAAGGGGAGGTTTTGCAGCTGTATAATAGGTAGTTTGCTGTTCTGGCTTGCAACATGGCTGTACCATGTTGCTAGCATTATGTAGAGATTTTAATCTGTAATAGTGTACATTTGCAGATATATTTTGCTGAAGACTTAATGGATTCTTCATGGGAACTTTGTCAAATTTAGATTGTAGGGAGAATCTTAATTCAGATTCTCAAACCGTCCAGCTTATTCAAGTCATTTTCTTTTTCCTTTAAGTTATGCTGAGTTATACTGTGGTGGATGTGGATTTTTCAATTTTTCTTTATCATTGTCTTCTGGTATTTTAAATTTTTGCTGAGTATAGAAGTTCTACATTGGCTTTGGAAAGCATAGACTTATGGTTGGGCTCTCAGTATTAGTGAACTAATGCCCATTATTATTTCCAGGCATCTCTTCATATTCTTTCAGAAAGCAAGATGATTGTCATCTTTAGAACAAGAACGTGCTACAAGAGAATACTCTGAAAATAAAAACCGAAAAAGCCAAGAAGCACCACGAGATGGTTTTTTGAAAGAGTTAGGAGGAAGGGTAAAGAGTTTAATGAGTTAAAGTTATAAATGAAAGACAACTTTGTGGAATGTGAGAAAGATTTGTAAAATTGGACAAATGCTAAAAGAAATTAGGTCTTAACTCATCCCTGCTCCCTCCCCAAATCCTGTTGAAATGGGAAGAGACAGTAGCTTCTGCCTTTCCTCATCTCTGGTAGGAGAGTTGAGGGCTTAGTAGGAGACTTGTGGTAACACTGGCTTTTAGGGAAGATAGTATATGGCCTTAAAAAATGGAACATTTCATAGAATTCCCTTGTAAAAATTAACTTTTGTCTTTCTTTTATAGCAAATCCAGTTTGCTGATGACATGCAGGAGTTCACCAAATTCCCCACAAAGACCGGCCGAAGATCTCTGTCTCGCTCCATCTCACAGTCCTCCACGGACAGCTATAGTTCAGGTGGGTATGAACGAACTTCATGTCTTCTCTGCTGTCTCTTCCCTGTCTACTGCCTATTGTGCTTCACTCATCCAGACTCTGAAAATAACCTCCTGTTAAGACTGTCGATCTTTGTTGAAAGCTGTTTGTTAGCGCCTGGGCAATGGTAGCGTTCCCAGCCAGGCTTAGAGCTGGGGAAGCTTTTGTCATCTGAAGACTGACCATCTCTCTGTGTGGTCTGTGGCCAGTGGCCAGTGTCCAGTTGGTAGTACTGGGCCAGTTTCCATTCCCACATTGATCCACTCATGTTTCAAAGGGAAAGAATCAATGCTGTTTTGGCTGACAAAACTGACCTTGAAAAAGAAGTATACTTTGAAGCATAATTTCTTTGTGTAAAATATACCCTGTGGACTTACTTAAGACTCAGAAAATATACGCAGGAATATACGTATTGCCATCTATCTGTTTCTTTCCTGTGCCTAAGACGACTTGAATTCTAACAATAAAAATTAGCATTTTCATTCTTTTTATTTACTAGATTATTCTTTATGTTGAAATAACCTCCCCTGTTAACTCATGGAATAGGAAAGATTCAGACTGCTGTGATGTGACTCCAACTTTATTTCATTTAGTTCTATGTTAGCTCTCTGTAAGAAAAGTCTTTTTTTAACTTGAATTATGCCCTTCCGCCATCTATAGAGAGGATATTAAAAAATTAGCATGGAAAAGGATTTAAAATCTTAGGAATTAAATACTGGAGAAAACATTAGGGGCATCCGATAAAACTCTCCCATTATTCAATTGAAGAATCATTGTTGGCCAGGTACAATGGCTTCTACCTATAATCTAGCACTCTGGCAGGCTGAGATGGCAGATCACTTGAGCTTTAGTAGTTTGAGACCAGCCTGAGCAAGAGTGAGACTCCGTCTCCACTGAAAATAGAAAAATTAGCCAGGCATTATGACAAGTGTCTGTGGTCCCAGCTACTTGGGAGGCTGAGGTAGGAAGATCCCTTGAACCCAAGAGTTTAAGCTTGCCATGAGCAAGGCTGAAGCCATGGCACTCTAGCCTGGCCAACAAAGTGAGACTCTGTCTCAAAAAAAAAAAAAGAAGAAGAAGAAGAAGAATCATTGTTAACAGACATGCCCAAGATCACAGACAGCTATTAATGTCAGTGAAGAGATTTGTACCAAAAGCCACTCATTGTTCTTTGCCAGAATATCATTTGCATTCTCTTAAGATTAAAGACTGTTCCTGAGGTATAAAGAATGTAAAAAAACAATTTAAAAGAAACTTATTTTCTCCCTTGTGCCACTTATAACCCAATATAGACAAGATAGGAAGAACAGTGGTGTATAGGGTTAACTACTGAAATAAATGAATATGTGGGCTTACTGTGGGCATAAGTGCAAGAAATAGTTCCAAGTGTAATGGCTATCATAAATGAAAAGGTTTCATGGAATGAGAGAGAAAAAAGGCAGTGGGCAACGAGGAGGCTAATTATAACTGAGAAAAAGAAAAATTAATTTTGAAAAATTGAACTATAAAAGGAAGAAAGTCAGAATGAATAAAGAAGGCTTTATAAAAAGTCTTCAAAGATCTTGATGGCCATGTTACAGAAACCTATGAGAGCCTTTTATAAAGTTTAGTGATAGAGTTAAATTGTCAAAGTGGGGAACATAACCTTTAGTAGTATTTGTAATAGTAGCTGGACAGAAGGATGACCTACATATACAGGTGGAAGTCAGAGAGACCTGGTACACTGGCAGAAACAGTAATGAGGAAAATTCAGGGAGGAAAGAAGTGATTTGGGAAGTAAAGAGTGATGATTGTTACATATCCTCTTGCATATCAGAGGGATAGTTTTAGCCTTTATGAGAAGCTGGGGTGGTTTGTTTTGTTGTTATTTGGGGTTTTTTCACTATAAGGTCTCTCACTCTGTAACCCAGACTGGAGTACGGTAGCACAATCACAGCTCACTGTGATCCCTAAATCTAAGTAATTCTCTTGGCTCATCCTCTTGAGTAGCTAGGACTACAGGTACACATGCCACCAGTGCATGGCTTATTTTTTAATTTTTTGTAGAGCCAGGGTCTTGCTCTGTTGCCCAGGCTGATCTCAAACTCCTGGCTTCAAGCCTCGCAAAGTGCTAAGATCACAGGTGTGTGCCACCATACCTGGCCCAAAGCTGTTTTTAAAAGTTGATCATCTTGACAGACTTCTCCAAGGCTGGCAATAGAACCCAAACTACTTGCTTTATGTGCCCTTTCTTTCTGCTCTATTCCCTACACACAACCTACTATACAGTCCCTTGTAAGACTGTTATCCCTTTCATCTACCATATATATCAATGTTTTTCAAAGTGTGGTCCTCTGACCAGCAGCATTAGCACACTTGGGAACTTAATTAGAAGTGTGAATTCTTGGGTACTACCAGATACCAACCCCCACCACATGGAAAACTTTAGCCATGGAGTCTAGCAATGTATGTTTTAACAAACCTTCCATGTGATTCTGATAGATGTATGAGTTTGAGAACCAGTGATGTGTAGAAATAGCATTCCTTCTCTGCCCTAAATTATTCTTCCATTGTTGTCAGGTCTAGTTCCAATCAGTTTCCTTCATACCATCCTTTAGAGCCTAGAGGAGTAGAACTGGGAGGGACCAAGAAGGTAGCTCCAATTAAGAGTGTACTCACTTAAATAGCCAGGTGTTGTGGCGGGCACCTTTAGTCCCAGCTACTCAGGAGGCTGAGGCAAGAGAATCGCCTAAGCCCAGGAGTTGGAGGTTGCTGTGAACTCTTGATACCATGGCACTCTACCGAGGGTGATAAAGTAAGACTGCCTCTAAAAAAAAAAAAAGAATGTTCACTTAACTTAAATTGGGAACTGTACTTTATGGAGTTGGGGCGATTGAGGCTTTTCTATCCTCATTTTTTCCCTGGCTCCAGCTGCATCCTACACAGATAGCTCTGATGATGAGGTTTCTCCCCGAGAGAAGCAGCAAACCAACTCCAAGGGCAGCAGCAATTTCTGCGTGAAGAACATCAAGCAGGCAGAATTTGGACGCCGAGAGATTGAGATTGCAGAGCAAGGTAAAGAAAAGGAATGGGTAGAGGACCAGAAGCAGCCTTTTTCCTGGTTATCAGTTTCCACAACAACTTAGAGCCTGAAAGCCAACTTGAAAGTATCCTGGAAAAAGGTACTTTCTTGGACTTTTGGATAAATACCTCTCTATGTATGAAGCTTGAGCTTCAAGATTCTTATTCATTGCTGGGTGTGGAGGCTCACTCCTGTAATCCTTGCACTCTGGGAGGCTAAGGCAGGTGGATTGCTTGAGCTCAGGAGTTTGAGACCAGCCTGAACAAGAGAGAGACCTTGTCTCTAAAAGAAAAAGAATAGCCAGGTATTGTGGCCGGCAACTGTAGTCCCAACTATTCTGGAGGCTGAGGCAAAAAAGGATCATTTGAGCCCAAGAGTTTGAGGTTGCTATGAGCTATGACACCATGGCACTCTAGGGTGACAAAGTGAAACTCTGTCTCAAAAAAAAAAAAAAAAGTAGGCGCCCGTAGCACAGTGGTTGCAGCATCAGCTGCATACACTGAGGCTAGTGGGTTCAAATCTGGCCTGGGCCACCTAAACACAATGGCAACTGCAACAAAAAAAAATCTGGGGGTTGTGGCGGGTACTTGTAGTCCTAGCTACGAGGGAGACTGAAGCAGGAGAATCTCTTAAGCCCAAGAGTTTGAGGTTGCTGTGAGCTGTGACACCACATCACTCTATGGAGGAGGGTAGCATACTCTGTCTCAAAAAAAAAAAAATGTAGAAAAAATATTTTTGTTCTTAGTTTCTCCCTTCCTCTTCTCAGCGTGTGGTAATTACACATGGGATAGTTTCTCTTTTCCTCCTTCCTGATACCATATTCAAAGATATACCCTGCAGAATCAGCAAGTTCTTGATCGCTATGTGGTAGTTAGTTATGTGGGATCTTACTGGAGCTGTCAATCACAGAGATCCAGATTTTCCAGAAGCAGCTGGCGTGGGAGGTTTAAAGCTAAGGATGTGGTGACCTAGGATCTTGTTTGGTTCTGAGCACCCTCTGCTGGAGCAGAGCAAAAGTGACTGACAATAGGTAAAATCATAGTTTCTCTATCCCACCCTGCCGCCAGTAAGGTGTTTTTTACCTTTTTTTGTTTTCATGTGGAGGGCATGTTCTGTACTGAGAGTAGAAAAACCAAACAAACTAACAGGATAGGGTAAGGCAGCATAGAACACAGAAGCTAGTGGGTTCTGCTGAGGGTGAAGTCTCTTCTTCCTAGTCTGATACGTGAGTCCATTAGCCAATGCCATAACTACTTTCCTCTCCTCCCAAGTGAATGGTGAGATTTACCCTCCATTTTGATCAGTTTTGAGTATGTACTTCATTCTCTGTTCAGTCTTCTGGATATAAAGCTGAAGCAGGGGAGGAAGAGAAATTCTAGATGGTTGTACGACAACTCTGTGTTATTACAGTGCTGTTGAAGCTGCCAGATCATCATGGAAATATGCTTATAGTTTCTTTGACTCGTCTTACCATATCTCAACAGATCCAGACTGGCCCCAGATGCTGCTGGGGCAGGAAATGTGATACTGCTAGTGCAGACCTAGCTCAAATCCTCTGTTCTTTCACAGACATGTCTGCTCTGATTTCACTCAGGAAACGTGCTCAGGGGGAGAAGCCCTTGGCTGGTGCTAAAATAGTGGGCTGTACACACATCACGGCCCAGACAGCGGTGAGTTTGCTGTAAAAAAAAAGGGAAGGGCTTCTTATAAGAGGAAGAATGAAGCAGGGTTTGGTTGTTGTTTTTTACTTTTCCTTCTCTAGCTAGCCAACCTCCAAATGCTGACTTTAGATGGGATCTTCCTGTTACACAGTAGTTGGGTTTTCTGCTTTTATTTGTATAAGTAAACCCACTTTGAGCAAACTTGACCTAGGAAGGTCTAGATTTGCAAAAATATGGTTGTTATTAAAATGTTACTAAGACTTTTAGGAACCCATCTTTTGGGTATAAATACCAGTGTGCCATCTTAATGACATCCACCCTTTTGTTACTTTCCAGTGTGGCACCTGTTGCTGCAGAATTGATGGGTATTCTTTTCTTACTGAGGTTTGCTCCCCACTCCCAAGTGGCCCTCCTCTTCCTCACCCTGTCTTCCTACACATCCACACAGGTGTTGATTGAGACACTCTGTGCCCTGGGGGCTCAGTGCCGCTGGTCTGCTTGCAACATCTACTCAACTCAGAATGAAGTGGCTGCAGCACTAGCTGAGGCTGGTAAGTTCTGTTTTTTTCCAGCAACCTTAGCCTAAAATAATTATCTAAGTATATTGTCTTTACAGTGTTGTTTATGTCTAGGGACTATACAATTTGAAAGGTAATAAGAATATCAGTAAGAAGAAAATGGATAATAAAATTAAGGTCTACCTGCATGATAGAATATTATGTGGTCATTAAAAATGATCTTTGAGGGGCAGCACCTATGGCTTAAAGGGGTAGGCACTGGCCCCATATGCCAGAGGTGGTGGGTTCAAACCCAGATCCGGCCAAAAACTGCAAGAAAAGAAAAGATCTTTGAGGGTGGCGCCTGTGGCTCAAAGGAGTAGGGCGCTGGCCCCATAGGCCAGAGGTTGTGGGTTCAAACCCAGCCCCAAAAAAAAAAAAAAAAAATCTTTGAAAATAATCTAATGACATGGGAAAATGCCTAGTTCTAACAAAGAAGAATATTGAACTTTATAAGCTATGTAAATGTGAGCTTATCTGATCTCTTTTCACCAAAAGTCTTGCCATTTTTGAGAGAGACCATAAGAAATGCCTTTTATATCAATAGTTTGTTAAATAATTTGGTATTTAATATGGCACTGAAAATATATGGGCTACCAATGACTTTTACTAAACATAATTTTTATTGTTAATATGTTCGAAAGAAAATCAAAGTTGCTTTGAGGACTTCTCATCTTCCCAGGATTCTCAGAAAGCAACTTTACTTGGGGATTTTTTTTGTTTTATTTTTTGGTAAGTGTTCATTGCAGAAAATTTAGAAATTTCAAAAAAAAAAAATTCACAGTTCCACTGCACAGAGATAGTATTTGATAAATTTTTCCCTTTTTTCTATCTGCTTTCTAGTGATGAAATAACTCTTAGTATATATACAGGTTAATAATCTATAAAACATTTTCAGTAGTTTTCCACGTAACTGAAAATTTTGACAGCATCTTTTTTTTTTTTTTTTGGAGACAGAGTCTCACTTTGTAACCCTCAGTAGAGAACCATGGCATCATAGCTTACAGCAACTTCAAAATCTCAGGCTCAAGCGATTCTCTTGCCTCAGCCTCCCAAGTAGGTGGGACTACAGGCACCTGCCACAGTGCCCAACTAGACAGCATCATTTTTAATGCTCATTAATATGCTTATGCAATTTTATGTCACTGTTTCCTAATGTGGAACATTTAAATTATTTCAAGATGTTTACTTACATAAATAATGCTCTAGTGAACAACTTTACAGTGATTCCCATTTCATTTTATCTCCTTAGGGTTGTGAATATAAAGTGGCCCAAAGACACTTTATAGTGGCCCAAAGACACAACATTTTAGGCTTCAAAATGCCTTTTTTTGGGTATGAGAGTCTCGATTTATTGCTTGCACTAGAGTGCCATGGCGTCATTATAGCTCACTCCCACCTCAAATTCCTGGACTTAAGTGATCATCCTGCCTTAGCCTTCCAAGTAACTGGGACTACCAGTGCACTGCCATGCCTGGCTAATTTTTTTTGTATTTCTTTCTAGAAAAAGGGTCTCACTATGTTGCTGTGACTAAGGCTAGTCTCAAATTCTATTTGACTCAAGTAATCCTCATCTTGGCCCCGCAAAGTGCTAGGATTACAAGGCACGAGCCACCATGCCAAGCCATAAAATACTTTTAAAAACAAAAATTCCTTAATTTCTTAACCAAAGTAATTTCTAAAAATACTATATGAGTGCTACATATGTGTACTTTGACATTTCTTAAGTTTTTTCCTTTCTGGGATAGTTCCTTTTTTTCTTCATAGGAATCTGAGAAAGTGGCATTGGTGTAGCACATTTTTCAAAGGAATAATCAGCTGACTTCTTTCTTTCTGTCTCTATAGGAGTTGCAGTGTTTGCTTGGAAGGGCGAGTCAGAAGATGACTTCTGGTGGTGTATTGACCGCTGTGTGAACATGGACGGGTGGCAGGCCAACATGGTAATAATGCATATCCATCCTACACTTTGACAAGAGATTTATTTCCTTTTTTTCCCTCAAAGCATGGCTCCCTAAATATGTTTTGGATGTTTGGTCTCATGCACTGACTTCGTTGCCGCAGTGTTTAGCCTGATACCTATTCAGAGCAAGTCTGTGTACCGAATGAAAAAGTGGGGGAAGGGTAAGACTAGCCAAACACATGTGGCTCCAACACAACAGAACAAAGAAGAAGGAAATAATGTGCTACCTCTTTGGAATAGGATTCTGGTTTCTTTCCTTCTTGCCCCAGCTCTCCTTTTGCATTCAAAGGGGCTATGTATTTCAAGACTCTAGACTAAAAGTGAGTCTGTGATTAGCCTAATATTCTTCACTGTAGTCTAGAACAAAGATAGGATTCCTTTTAACCATTTTACACCAACAAACTTGACTATATTTGCACTATCTAAGCCTGCTCGAAGGAGCTCCAAGAAGTGCTCTTCCAAAACATATAGGGCTCTCTTACTAGTGCAGAAAGTGGGTTCAAAGTTCCCCCCAGCTCTAGCAGCCTGAATGCCCATAGAAGTCTTCTGGCTGTTCTATAGATCCTGGATGATGGGGGAGACTTAACCCACTGGGTTTATAAGAAGTATCCAAACGTGTTTAAGAAGATCCGAGGCATTGTGGAAGAGAGCGTGACTGGTGTTCACAGGTAACAGATTCTGGAGTAGCTGCCCCTTGTGTCCTTGCCTCAGCATCTTCTCCTAGTGTCCGTTAGGCTTCAGGGCTGTGTTTCAAACTTGTAGTAACTAAGTGGGAGTATCTTCGTTAGATAAAAACTTACGTGTTTTTACTTTTGAAAATCAAGTCGACCCTAGAAGGAAATTATTTCAGGTTCTAATTCACGCATTCTCTCCCGTTTATTCCACTGAATGATTCTTAAGTAGTGTTTGGGCATGAGGGGTAGGGAGTGATTGTATCTTGAAAAACTGTATTCAATATTGTATTATAATTTCATATTTAAAACATGAAAACAATCCTATTGTAAAACTACACATTGCATGTACTACAAAAAATAATACTACTGGGCAAAATATTCTTGGCTTGTTGGAATACCTAAAAGATACGTGAAAGTGTTTCTCAGTTGAAGGCACATTGCACTTGCTTGCTTACATACACACGTGCGTTCACACACAGGGAACCGTATCAGAATCATTAATAATCTTTGCTTATCAGAAGTGAGCATGAGTTTTTAAAGATTGAGAAATGCTGGTTTAAGAAAATAACGTTTCTTCTATGGAAGAGAAGTAAATTTCTTCAGTTGAAAAGGGGAGTTTTTTTTTTCCTTTCAAAAGAAAAAGGTAGGGGGAGGAAAAAAATGAAAAGAATCGTGTTTACCAATGTCCATAGCCAATAAATAAGACTGGGGAGGGTGGCACGGAACTTGAGAATTAGGCAGATTTTGCCAGATGTTATGTTTTGCCAGCTAACTGGGTTTTTGTTTTTGTGGCCTCTTCTCCCTCTAGGCTGTATCAGCTCTCCAAAGCTGGGAAGCTCTGTGTTCCTGCCATGAATGTCAATGATTCTGTTACCAAACAGAAGTTTGATAATTTGTACTGCTGCCGAGAATCCATTTTGGATGGGTAGGTTGAAATGTATATATATTCAAACTTAAAGGGGGTATACCTGGGTTGGGTTACAGTGTGAATTGGCTATCATTCTGGTCTTGTCCCCTGGTCTTGCTTTGACTTTAAAAGTGTGCTAGAGGGGTGACTTCATATTGAGCTCAGCCAGTTTCCAGTAGAAGTTCTCAGCGGCATTGTCCCACACTTTTAACTTTATGCAGAGGGACTGAATTTGAGCTACTAATATTTTGAATTGAGCCCTTGTCTGTTTCCACAGCCTGAAGAGGACCACAGATGTGATGTTTGGTGGGAAGCAAGTGGTGGTGTGTGGCTATGGTGAGGTAAACAGCTGTACCTCAGTCCCTTTATTCTCTTAGACTTACTAGAAATATTGGGTGAAGGAGGCTTGTACTGTTGATCTAGAGTCACTTATGCAGGGTTTTAAATAGATATCTCAAAACAATAACAAAAGTCTTTTATTCACATCCATGAATAGAGACATGCAGAGTGAATTGAGTTTTTAGGTTTTACCAGTTTTCTTATGGAATGGAATTTCAGCATCAGTTCCCTCCAATTACAGTAATAACCTTTACTGAGACATATTTCAAGTGAATATATAGCATTTTAGCTCCAGAGGTGACTTACAATAGAATGAAGGGTAGAATCTGAAGAGGCCAGTGTATATGTATATGTAGTTCAATAACTCTAAACTGGAGTAGGTTACAGGAGATTCTGTTGTCTTCAGCAATTGACCCACAGAAGTTTCTGAGCTGCTAGGCTGTCCCTGAGTAGATGTATCTTAAGTGAGAGGTATTTCAGGTTTTTCTGAAATAAGAAATTAAAGGTTACTAAGAGCAAGTTGCTCTTACCAGGTCTTGTTTCCTTAATAACATTTTTATCCAAAGTCCCTGCCCTTGCTATGACATGTCTGCTAAATTACCTCTCTGATGTTCACAACATAATCTCAGGGTCTGAGCATCCCTGCAGGTAGGTGCTCACTACATAATTGATGACTTCATGAAGATTAATTCCTGTCTCCCAAAGAACCTGCCTACCCCCATATCCATGCCTTAATGAACCTGACACCCTGACCTTATGTTTGGCAGGTAGGAAAGGGTTGCTGTGCTGCTCTCAAGGCCCTTGGGGCAATTGTCTACATCACAGAAATTGACCCCATCTGTGCTCTGCAGGCCTGGTAAGAACAATGTTATACTACTTTTAGATTCACTCCAGGTACTTTGTTTTTGAGAGTTCTTGATTTATTGTAATGATCATTTTTGCAGAAATCTCCTAGAGGAAGAGAAGGTTAGAATTTCTCTGTTACCCTCTCTCTAACCTTCGGGTTCTCCTAGAACCTCTTGCCATTTTCCCCTTCCTGAATGAAGTCCTGGGGACTCTGAAGAGGCCAGTGTATATAGCTTAGCACAGCTTATCACTTTCCATCCCTGCAAGATAGCTTCGGATCTGACTTTACAAGGGGATCTTGTCTCATTTTGTGACCAGCTTCCTTCACCCTGCTCCTGGCTTTACTCACAGTGTTCCTTTCTTTTCTTCCAGCATGGATGGGTTCAGGGTGGTAAAGCTAAATGAAGTCATCCGGCAAGTTGATGTCGTAATAACTTGCACAGGTAAGTATTGACGCTTTGGTGTGCCTAGAGGAGTGTTAAGTCAGATTTTAAATCGTGGAAGTGGTCTGACTGATTTTCATAGAAAGTAAGACCTGTGCTCAGTATAAAGGTCTCAGACCTTTGAGTAAGCTGACAGAACGTTAACATTTTCCAGAGTAAAGAGCCTTTTTCCTCTGGTGACTTTTTTATCTTGTTTGATCTTAAAACCTGGTAACGGAGCCTAAGGAGCTGTTATTAAGAGTTAGGCACTTCTTTTCTCACCAAGTATACATGTTCTTTAATGACAGCAAAACTCCTTTCTCCCACATTTTAACTGAAAGCCTGTCAGTGCCTTTGTTTCTGACGACGTCTTTTTCGTCAGCCACTCATCTTAACTTTTAGGAAATAAGAATGTAGTGACACGAGAGCACTTGGACCGCATGAAAAACAGTTGTATCGTATGCAATATGGGCCACTCCAACACAGAAATTGATGTGGTAAGGCTTCTCTCATTTGTTGCTAGCATTGTTCCTCTACTTTCTATTTTAGCCTTGGTCAACTGTGCTTCTTCCTTTTAGACCAGCCTCCGCACCCCAGAGCTGACGTGGGAGCGAGTACGTTCTCAAGTGGACCATGTCATCTGGCCAGATGGCAAACGCGTTGTCCTCCTGGCAGAGGTACACACAGAAGGACTCTGACAGCCACTCAAGCAGTATAGTTAGATCCAAGGCAAGGAGGGGTGGTAGAGAAAAAAGACTGAGCCTGTGTTTCTCTGATTCTGTCTTTGGACAGATGTATATTTCTCAAATGGGCTGGTCCTCAAAAGAGTCACTCAAAAAATCTACTTTTTACTAAATAACAGTACTGTTTCCTGACCACAGATCATTATTCAACCTTTCAGACTCAGAGTTGTAGAAAAGAGGATAAAACCTAGAGTCCTGATTTGCACCTATAATTCTTCTTCCAGCTGAGATTAGGAGGGTGTAAAGTCCTTTCCTGCATTGGCTTTACTTGGAATCTGAGACAAAGAGAGACTAGCTCATCCCAAGGTTTCCTCTTAACCTTTCCAGGGTCGTCTGCTCAATTTGAGCTGTTCCACAGTTCCCACCTTTGTTCTGTCCATCACAGCTACAACACAGGTATGTGACAAATTGGCTGCTTACCCTACACTGCAAATTGTGGAACTGGGGGTAGATCAGAGTTCCAGTGAATGGGGCTATTCTGTTTTTATGTAGAAGTTCTTGAGACTTAGGCTTTCTCAAGTACAGAAAAGAGTCATTAGGTATTATTTGTGTCTGTTTGTCTTGGCTGTTTTAGTTGAAAATACGTGTTCTAAAAACTGAACTAACACACCAACAAATCTTACGGTGTTAACCTTTATCACAGACAAAGTCTTAGGTGCTGTCACTAGACTATAGTAGATCACTAGAGTACTTGCCCAAAACCCTGTTAAACTTAGCTTTATTTTTATCTTTCTAAGAATTTTTGTATTTTCTGGCCCTCTTTTCCCAACTTAGGCTTTGGCACTGATAGAGCTCTATAATGCACCTGAGGGGCGATACAAACAGGATGTATACTTGCTTCCTAAGAAAATGGGTGAGTGAAAAACAGTAGAAACCTATGTTGATCCCTAGCTTTAGGGTCTGGTAAAATGACTTTCATGAAGAGCATTGAACTTAGAGTTTTAATTCCTATTTTAGTGCTTGTGTGTTGACTTCAGTCCTAATCTCCATGAGCTTCGGGTTCTTGGTCAGTCGAGTGAGAAGAATACTACATACACTGCAGAATTGCAGTAAGAATTATGCTAGCGACTAATAGTGCTTAGCACAGTGGTTTAGGGTAGATGCTCTTATTCTAAATAGGTTTATGAAATTCAGTAAGCTTCCTAGCACAGTGAGTTGTGAACAAAAATGAGAGAAACAGAAACACATACAGGTTGTACTATCCATTCTCTGTGCAGAAATGCAAATGACTTCCTACCCAGCCTCCTCTTAGGACAGGACGAATCACGCTGTGTTTGTGTGATGTAATACATCATCGCTTATCCTTTATCTTTCTGCACAGTGGTCCCCACCTCTCCTTGGCCCAAAATCTCTGACCTCCTAAAGCTAAATTTCTCCTTATTCGTGTCTCTCCTAATAGCTTATCTCATATTAGTTTTTTAAAAAAGACATCTTAAAAGTCAGAGAAGCTTATCCGTAGAAAGCTAACAAATTTGTGCAAATTACCTGACAACTCCATGATTCTAAGATTTGAGGCCTTTATGGATCTTATCCTAGATAAGTGTTAATGACACAAGGCTCTTTTGAACTTGTGTTCATTTTGATTTGTAATTTGACTATAATTTAATCCAGTTAAAGAGGTTGCTGTAGGAAGGTGGGAATCGTATGTGACATGTTAGCCACTGAGGTAAATCCAAAAGCTTTGCCAGAGAAGGATAAGAAGCTATAACTCCACCGCCTTTTGTCCCCTTGATAAATGGCTTTCCAAACACACTTGGATATACTGAGAGAAGTTCCCGGCCAGAAGGTCAGCTTTCAGGTTTTTCTTACTAAGTGAATATTTGAAGTTGTGGATTTTTTCTTTTCTTTTTTTTTTTTTTTGAGACAGAGCCTCAAGCTATCCCCTTGGGTAGAGTGCTATGGCATCACAACTCACAGCAACCTCCAACTTCTGGGCTCAAGCGAGTCTCCTGCCTCAGCCTCCCAAGTAGCTGGGACCACAGGCACCCACCATGACGCCCGGCCATTTTTTTTGGTTGCAGCCATCATTGTTGTTTGGCGGGTCCGGGCTGGGGATTCGAACCCACCACCTTAGGTGTATGTGGCTGGCGCCTTAGCCGCTTGAGCCACAGGCGCCAGCCTGTGGATTTTTTTAAAGTTATTCCATTCATTGTCCTCTTCCCAAAAAACATCAAATGAAAAATAGGTAGGGGAGATTATACCCCAGAGGCATATTTTCAAAAGTGTTGCATTCTCATTTTGTTCTCCTAGATGAGTACGTCGCCAGCTTGCATCTGCCGTCATTTGATGCCCACCTGACAGAGCTGACAGATGACCAAGCAAAATATCTGGGACTCAATAAAAATGGGCCATTCAAACCCAATTATTACAGGTAACTTGGGGGAAGCAAGTGAAAAGGTCTTTTCCTCAGTATTTAACCAAGCAGGCAGCCTAGACAGCTAAAATAAAGACCAGATGCTGCAGCTGATCTTGAATAGTACAAGAACTCTGCTTCACATTAACAGAGTAGGTGGAGAAATTATTTATTTCGTGGTAGATGTAAAGAAATTAGAGTTTTCTGGAATTTTGGAGCTTGGGCCTCATTCTAAGATTCTGATATGGTTGGTCTGGGATGGGACCAAGTGCAAAGTTATTTTGTAAAAGCTCCTCTGATTATTCTAATGTATAATCAGGGTTTGAAAACCACCGACTTTTATTATCAAGGAGCAGGAAGTAACACTAGAAATGTGGACCAATAGGAAAGGATGATGCCTTGGCCTGGGGAATGACTAGAGGGATTCCCAGCCTGGGCCGGGGAGGGACTCTGGAGAAGGTGCTCTCTTTCTGATTCTTCTCTTGGAACTCTCATGTGGAAGATGCGAGTGTTAATCAATCTCTTTCTTTACAGATACTAATGGACCATATTACCAAGGACCAGTCCACATGAACCACACAACTCGAAAAGAAATATTTTTTAAAGTAACTCTTATTTTCTTCTTATTCCTTTCCTCTTGATTTTTTTCTATAATTTCATTCTTGTTTTTCATCTCATTATCCAAGTTCTGTAAACCACACAGGAACTTGCTTCATGGCTCTTTAGATGAAACTGAGGTTCAAGGTTCCTCACCCTAGTTACTAAAGAAGGATTTTACTCCTAGCCCAGAAAGCTGATTCTTTCTTTACCATTTCTGGGGACTTTAGTCTTAATTTAGGTACCTTATTAACAGGAAATGCTGAGGTACCTTCTATGTGGAACAATCTGCAATGTCTAAATCGCCTTAAAAGAGCCCATTTCTTAGCTGCTGAAATCAGTGCTCTTTCACTTCTTCAGAGGAGCAGGGATGCTACCTACCAGCCAGGTAGGTTAGATGTAGGTGGTGCATGTTAATTTCCCATAGAAGTTCCAAGCCCTGTTTCCTGTGTACAGGTGGTATGTCTGGTTCAGAGATGTGTACTAGTGAGTGTTGCTCATTAAGATCCAGAAGGCTCCCTTGGCTTTATAGTACAGCCCTGCCACCATTCTCACCAGACTCATTTTTCTAGTTGTTAAGCATATTACACTTGATTAAGTTGAAGTTTGTCCCCTAGCATTTATTTCTGTTGTACAAAAAAAAGGAAAAAATTTTAATATTAACTCTGTGAGACTGCTTGGGTGGTTAGTTGTTACCAATTTCTCTTTTGAATCTTTGGAAGTAAGGTTACCAAGTTGAGTCTAGTGGAATGAAAGTCTCAAATTCTAGTAAGTCCCTCTGTTTCTACCCCATAGTTTATAGCACCAATGAACTGGAGCCATAATAGCAAATTCTATCAGCTCTGACCTATACAGCTTGTGCTGAAGGCAAATTTATCAAGCCATTACTCAATATAAAGCACTGAGCTCTATCTTTAGGATTTATCCTTTAAGAGCAAATTTCTGGTCAGCTGTGCTTCTGCAGCTTAAATATTTAAAGGAAGGTAGGTGTGGATGGGAGGAGGAATGATACATTGGGCCAGGGTGAGCGAAATGTAGCTTCATACAATTTGGACATAAATTTTATAGCAGTGATACCACTTTTGATCAGAACATACCACAAAAAGTTTATGAACTAAGATCTTAAAGGGCAGTTGTGTGTAGAGAACGTAATCAGTACATCCTGGCTCGTGTGTTGAAGGGATCCCCAGAGAGCTGCTCTCGAAGATCAGAGAGACATTTTCTCATGCCATGCACCCTGCTTACCGGCATTTCTGCATGGTCAAATGAGCATTACACTCATGAGATTTAAGTGTGTAATTACCCAGGATTTGAAATCCTCAACTTGTTCTAGCTTGTGACCCTTCAAAGTTGGGTCATACATTACTGCTAGACACTGGAAGTTTTCGTTTCTCTCGCTCCACTGATTAGAAAGGCAGTAAAAAACCAGGAATATAAAAAAGAAAAGCTTTCACCCTGCAGCTTCGGAGCAGGGTACAGTTGTCTTGCCAAAACGTTTTTCCCTTCTCCCATTTCTCCCTACCCAATCCCCTCCTACTCCTCGCCTGTATGACCATGCTTTACTTCTCTATAGATGCTAACAGTCAAAGCCCTTCTTCCTAGGGCACTTAGCCAGCCAGTCAGAACACCACATCTGTTAAGGGAGGTAACCTGGCCAACAGTGTATCCTATTGCGTCAGCTCTGTTGGAAGGGGCCTAAGTCCTGCTGCCTCTGGCCTGCTCCCTGATTCCATGTCACTGTGTCCATAGGAATAATAGGTAAGGGCTCCGTCGCTGTCAAACCGTGTAACAAAGGACACCTAGAAAAATGTCTGGCATCAGAGGGAGCGTGTGGAGAGCAACTTTGGAGGAACACATTCATTTTGTATTGAATGATTTTTAATGAATGCAATATTAATCCTTGCAGATGAGCAATAATCATTAAAGTCAATTAAAATGATAAGACCTTATTGGCAGTCTGTGTTATTCTTGGATGAACAGCAGAACTTCATTAGAACCTGTTTTCTAGTGAGGAGATAAGTCATGGGTCAGCAGTATTTAATAGAGACTTGTCGAAGACCTGTCAATGTAGAGGCTGAAAGAGTTCTTCAGTAATACCTTACATTTTATATGTCTACTCTGTGTCAAGCATTGGGCCTAGGCACTTTCACTCTTCCTTTAAGAAGCAGGCTTAGTGCTTAAGCTTCAGGGCTCCTCATTTGCATAGTCCCCTTCTAGCACTCTATGCCTCATTTCTACAGAATGTCCCCAAAGTTACATCAACTTCAGCCTTCCCCATGTATCCATGTCAGAAGTTGTCTCAATGTCTTTTGATGCAACTGTATCTATCTTAGTCTGGTTTTGCTGCTCTAGCAAGAACAAAAATTTATATTCTCAGTTATGGAAGCAGGAAATCCAAGATCAAGGTATTGCTAGATTCAGTGTCTGGAGCTTCTCTCCTGGTACCTCCTATTGTATCCTCACATGACAGAATGTGGAAGGGCAAAAAGGTCCTAGCTAGTTCACTTCAGCCAGCCCTGTCATAGGACATTTGTCCCATTTATGAGGGCACTGCTCTCATGATTTAAATCACCTCCTAAAGGACCCACCCCTTAATACTATCACATAGGCAATTAAGTTTAAGACGATAATATTTTGCAGGACATAGTATTCTACCCCTTGTCCCCCAAATTCATGTCCTTCATAATATGCAAAATATATGTATTCTATCCCAGTATCCCCCCAAATCTTGTTCTAGTTACCAACTCAGAAGTCTAAAGTCCAGAGTCTAGTCTAATCAGATACAGGTGAAACTCAAGATACAATTTATCCTGAGACAGTTGCTCTCTGGCCATGTACCTGGGAAATCAAATTTCGGACTTCCAAAATACAGTGGTACGCTGTGCGTAGGACACACAGAGAGAAATAGGAAAGAAGAAAGGAGTTACAGGTCCCAACCAAATCTAAAACCCAACAGGGCAAATATTAAGTCTTAAGGCTCCAGAATAATCTCCAACTCCATGTCCCCACCTTCTGGACATGGAGGGGTTGGGCCACAAAAACTTAGCTGGCAGCTCCGGTGGAATCTTGTGTCTGTAGTTCTCCCAGGCTGCAATTGCACACAGGCAGCTCTACAGTTTCAGGGCCTTGAGGCTACACCGCTCCCATTGCTCCACTAAGCACTGCCCTAGTAAGCATTTCAGTAGACCTGGGACTCAGGGCTCTCCCAAGTATCCTCTGAAACCTAGGTGGAGGTAGACATGTCTCCATCACTTTTGCACTCTGTGCACCTGCAGAGTTAGCACACCATGAGCACTGCCAAGCTTTATCACTTGTGCCTTCTGGAGTGGTAGCCTGAGTTGCAGCCAGGCCTGCTTTTGAGCTACAGCTGGGGTGGTTATAGAGTGCTGCCCTGAAATGTGGAGAACAGAAACTTGAGGCAGCCCTAGGCAGCAACTCTAAGGCCCCATGGGTGCACTGGACCTCTCCTTTGAAATCATTCTTATAGGAAGAGTGCAGACCAAAGACCCCATTCTTGGCGGCGGTGGGCACCCCTAGAAAAAGGAAAAATTAAAAAGCTGAAGAAGTTGAACAAGGAAAAGTCAGCTAGTTTACCCTTAGCCATTACTAAATTTCTTATCTAAACAAATTTCCAACCTTTCCTGAAACTCCGACCTATTGGAAATAGAGCTTACACCAATATCCTGCTGAGTCTGTAAACACTCTGAGAAAGAAAATGGTCATAAAAAAGATAACACAACCTGGAATAGCTACTCCTAGGTCATTCCTGCCCATTAAACAAAGCAGATACCCATTGTAGAGATTTATATTGGGCTAGGGCAGAAACCAAGGAAATAACTGGAACCCTGAAATATGGGCAGGAAAGCTTACCACCCCTTATCACAGAGGAAAATCCTCTGTGGTGATGATGAAAGGAAAAAAATCTCTCTCCCACTGATTCCTCAAAAGAGATTAACACCAGTGGTGTTTTACTCCACAGTGAACTAACAGAGCTTAACATCCCCCTAAAAATCTGTGTGTATGACTCCAGACAGGAGGCTTCCCCACACAAGACTCAAGTTTCAGATACTCCAAAACTACTCAAATCTCTAAAGTTAATAAAGATAAAAGCTGATGTAATTCACACACAAAAAAACTGCTGGTGTCTTTGTTCCCTCCCTCAGCTTACCACCTGGGCAGATAGATTTCAGTAAAAGCTGTGTAGAACAAAAACTCAAGACCAATCACTGGAACCCACGAACAGGCGGTGGTCTCCTGAGCTCCCACCTTTGAAATTTCTATGTCTCGTGTCTCTTTATCATGATTCCTCAATTTATATTTCTTCAGTGAGTCACGCCAGTTCTACAGGTCTTAGTGGACCCTGCCCCTGGACCTGACATTTGGCGCCCAATGTCTGCCTTCAAGGCCCTGGCACTCTGGGCCTCCGATGGGCTTGGCAGCCTTGGAGATCTCTGAAATGCTTTCAGGGTCATTCTTCCATTGTCTTGGTGAACAGCATTTGGCTTCCTTTTAGCCTTCCTTCCAATGTTCACTTGGCCATACCTTAGTCTTTTCTCCCCAGCTCTCCTTTTTATTCTTTACAATCTGGCCAGGGCAAGAGTTTTCCAAATCTTCAAGTTCTGCTTCCCTTTAGATTATAAGTTGCATCTTTAGGCTTGGTGCCTGTAGCACAGTAGTTATGGTGCCAGCCACATACACCCAGGCTGGCAGGTTTGAACTCAGCCTGGGCCAGCTAAACAACAATGACAACTGCAACAACAAAAAAAATAGCCGGGCATTGTGGTGGGTGCCTGTAGTCCCAGCTATTTGGGAAGCTGAGGCAAAAGGATCGCTTAAGCTCAAGAGTTTGAGGTTGCTGTGAGCTGTGATGCCACAGCACTCTACCAAGGGCAATATAGTGAGACTCTGTCTCAAAAAAAGATGAAAAAAAATCACATCTTTAGTTCATTTCTCTCTTCTTGCATTTTATCATAAACAGTCCAAAGAAGCTATGCTACACATTCAACACTTGCCAAGAGATTTCTCTTACTAAATGAATATTCTAGTTCATTGCTTACAAGATCTACTTTCCACAAAACACCACAACGGGGACACAATTCAGTCAAGTTCTTTGCCACTTTATAATAAGAATGGCCTTTTCTCCAGTTCCCAATACCTCTTTCCTCATTTCTGAGACCTCGTCACAATTACCTTTACAGTTCATATTTCTACCAGCGTTCTCATTACAACCACTTAAGTAATCTCAAAGATTGATTAAGGCTTTCTCTACAGCGGTCTTCTGAGCCCTTACCAGAACAGCTCTTTACCACCAGCCTCTATCCATTACCAGTTCCAAAGCAACTTTGCTCACATTTATCAAGGCTGGGAGCCCAAGATAAGACACCTGCAGGTTCAATGTCTGGTGAGGGGCCAGTTTCTGCTTCCAAGGCGACTACTTATTGCTGCATCCTCCAGACAGGGCCACGGGGATGAGCACTGTGTCCTCACGTGGCAGAACAGATGGAGGGCAAAGGGCCTGTCTAGTTCCCTCCAGCCCTTTCATAAAACATTATTCCCAACCCAGTCACCTCCTGAAGGCCCCAGTTCTTGTAACTGTTATATTGGGGATTAAGTTTCAACAGGAGTTTTAGAGGGGACATAAATATTCACACCATAGCAGTATCTTTAAGAATATTGTTAGAAAGTAATACCCTTTCTATTTTCTTTTTGTTTGTTTGCTTTTTGGAGACAGTCTCAAGCTGTCACCCTGGGTAAAGTGCTGTGGCATCATAGCTCACAGCAACCTCCCAACTCTTGGGTTCAAGCAATCCTCTTGCCCCATTTTTCTATTTTTAGTAGAGACAGAGTCTCACTTTTTCTCAGGCTGGTCTCAAACTCCTGAGCTCAAGCAATCCACCCACCTCGGCCTCCCAGAATGCTAGGACTACAGGTGTGCACCTGGCCTCTATTTTCTTTACTAAACTGGTCCCAAAGAATGCTGGTGATTTTTATGTAAGATGGGAAAATGGTATCTTTAATTCTATGAGGCATTATGCATGCATTTAAATATTTAAATCCAAACTTAAGATAAATTTCATATTGCCTAGAAATTTAAACTTTAACTGTCTTGGGTTTTTGTGTGTGTGTGTTTTGTTTTGTTTTTGAGACAGACTCTCAAACTTTCGCCCTGGGTAGAGTGCTGTGGCATCACAGCTCACAGCAACCTCAAACTCCTGGGCCCAAGCAATTCTCTTGCCTCAGCCTCCCAAGTAGCTGAGACTACAGGCTCCCACCACAACGCACAGATATTTTTTGGCCCGTGCTGGATTTGAACCTGCCAGCTCTGATGTATGTGGCTGGTGCCCTAGCTGCCTGAGCTACAGGTGCCGAGCCTGTCTTGGGTTTTTTGTTGTTTTGAGGCAGACTCTTGTTCTGTTGCCTGGGCTAGAGTGCTGTGGCCTAGCTCACAGCAACCTCAAACTCTTGGGTTCAAGCCATCCTCCTGTCTCAGCTTCCCAAGTTGCTGGGACTATAGGCATCTGCCACAATGCCTAGTTTATTTTTCTTTCTTTCTTTTCTTTTCTTTTTCTTTCTTTCTTTTTTTTTAGTAGAGATGGGGTCTTGCTTTGCTCAGGCTGGTCTTGAACTTCTGAGCTCAAGCAGTCCTCCCATCTCAGCCTACTAGAGTGCTGATTATAGGTGTGAACCACCACACCCGGCCTGTCTTATTAATCTATTTAATAACATTCCTGTTAAGTTGTCTATAATGGTGAGAAACTATCTTGAAGTTAAATATTTGAATACAAGGTATTTAAATGAACTGTAAACCTTGTAGTTTCATAAAATTGATTCTTCAAAGGTTTCTTTTTAAACTGACTACTATGTGTCAACGTCTGTGTTACATACTCGGGATACATTACTGTAAATCAGAAGATCTCGTCCTTTGTGGAGTTGACCTGAAAT